CGATCCAAAGCGGTCCCGAAGTTCGCCACAGCTGCAATTGGGAGAGTGTCCACCAATCATCCTTGAACGGCCAAACAGCGCTTCGAGAACGTCATCCCCGAGGAGGCAAATGTACACTTTCAAGTCTGGGTTCAGGAGATAGGTCTTGGGAACCATTAAGACCGCATTTTTGACCATTATCTGCAGGTCTATGTATAGCTGGTTGGGGATGAATGCCGTGCCGTTCTGGGTATACAAGCCGCAAAGGAGGTGTCCAAACTTGATCAATGACTCGATCTGTTCTGAGAGAGAAAGCTCCGTGTTAATGAAGGGTTGGAGCAAGGCATCCAATGCTTCTCCAAGGAGACAAAGGGCCTCGAACTCCGCCGCCTCACTAGGATCAAAATCCGCGGAATCTAACTCCGATATTTCGACGATACAAAGCAAAAGCTTGACTGCGCGGGCCACGTCTTGTGCATCGGATGGAGATAGAAGGTTGTGGATGGAGGCTTCCGACCAATCATGGTTCGGTAGACGCTCAAGCCACCCTTGAAGCAGGTCCCGGGTGATGCAGATATTTTTAATGACCATTCCTTCTATCGAGCAGGCAACCGTGCACAGACCTACGAAAGATATTCAGCACTAGGCCCGCCAAATGTGAAAGCAGACCTACGCTTATCCATGTGCTTCGGATCTGCATCGTTTGTAATATTGTCTTTGCCGACGCGTCGATTGAGTCCCGGAAGATTGCGAATGAAGGGATACAGCGGGTTTCCCTCCACAATTTCCTGCTGCATACACATCACGAACAGCGCGAGGCGGCGTTTATGATCCCCATCTGTCGACACAGATAGAACTGGGCCGTGCTTCGGTTGTCCACTTGGGCTTTAGGGCCATTGCATGCACATGGCAGATCCGAGTTGTTTCTTTCTTTCTTTCCAGCTTTCAACATTGGCTATTTTACACCTACTAATTCTGACGGCTCGCCCTCGCCCGAGCTTCGCTCGGCTCGAGCTCGCCTGGGGCCGGGAGTTTACAGCTTTCTATCTACTCTCTTTTTTTCTTTCCAGCTTTCAACATTGGCTATTTTACATCTACTAATTCTGACGGCTCGCCCTCGCCCGAGCTTCGCTCGGCTCGAGCTCGCCGGGGGCCGGGGTGTACAGTTTTCTACATCTACTCTTTGACGGCTCGCCCGCGCCCGAGCTTCGCTCGGCTCGAGCTCGCCGGGGGCGGGGCGGTTTCCAGCTTTCATGTCAAATATTCTGGCACCCAACGATGGGCAGAAGCACAACGGCAAAAAGATCAAAGAGAGTAAACAGATATGACACATAACAGTCAGCCAAAATGACTGAAATACCATAGGGGGTAAGAAAAACACACAGAAATTCCCTTTTACGGTAGTGTTTCTACCACGAAGCCTCGTCGTCATCGACACAAAACACCCTCCCTTTGGCGGAGAAACTGGAGGTAAGACCGAGTTTAAAAATAAATTTTTAAAACTCGGAATCCGGGGATCGTTTCCAGGCCTCCACCACTGTCTCCATCGTGCTAAGCATTTCTTTCCAGGAGCCTTTCTTGCAAGTTGGTCCCATGAATACCGGCTTCGCCCCGTACCCTGTTTCAGACAAACGCGAGATTGCTCCCACAGAAGTCTCATGCGAAATGTGGACTCGACCCTCCTTCACAGCCGAAACAGCAGCCTCAACAGCATGAGTATCTGCCCCAACCTTGACTGTTTCGAGCGCGGAAAGGTGTTCTATACAAAAGCCGCCCATCTCGTCTGTTTCCGTCATATAGTCGATCTTGCGTTCGGTTGCGAGCTCGTCAAACGACAGCGTGTGGCCGCAAATCATGGGTGCCTCCACCACGGCGTCTGAATCCACATCACGCCGCGGATGCGTACCGAACAGCGTGGCTATGTTCTTGGAAATATCCCCAAAACGCACTCCATTGACAGAGGGCACTAATTTGTGCTGGCGACGGAAAGGCTGGATGGTATTGCGGGAAGGGAGGGCGAATATGGAGTGATTCAAAGCATACACGGCGCTGCCGCCACCAAGCTCGTAAATCAAAATGGTGAGGTCGATTTCATACTGTGTGTAATTCCGGGCTGTATATTTCCCGTCCTTGGCGAGCCGACATTGTTCTAGAATTTTGGGGGCGCTCCATCCGTCTTTCTCAGCATTCGCCAACAGCCGATGCAGAGCCGGGATTGAATTTTGGCCAATGAAATGGAAGGTCTCCTTCCACTCCGACACACGTTCCCGTGCCCGGCCAAGAGAAACAGTGAGAGTGGAATTCTGAAATGTCTTTGAGAAAGGTATGTGATATTAAATGAAGAAGGAAAACAGACCTTGTGTTGTAGGTCTCTAATCTGGCTTTGCTTGTCCGCCAATTTTGCATGGAGTTGGTCGGAATTGAGGTCATTGTGCCTACGGATCTGCTCATGAGAACGGCTAGCCCGTTCCCTGATGATTGCCACATCAAGCGTCAAAGCAGAGCATTTGGAACAAGGGAAAAGACCCTCGGGAGTGACTACGCCGCCAAGGCATTCGGTCGAACGAGCCTTCGGGTACTCGGATAAAATCAAATCATATTTAGGCCGTCCTGCAGTACCAGGAGCATGCAGTTGGAATGGGTATGTACTCCAGAAAACCTCGGTACCCCAATCAATGGGTATACCTGGGCAAGGCACAGACCAGCGCGAGGATGGCACATGTGCGCGAGGCGGGTGCAACGGCAGAGACGGTGGCGGCGTGGGAGCAGGCGCGGTGCGCTGCGATGACGTGGGAGGACATCGCGTAGCCGTAGCCGTCTGCGATGTACTTTGACTAGGTCCTGCACAAGTTTACGACTGAGCCCTTCGGTATCAACCGTTGTTAAAACAAACCAGTTGTTGCTGAATGGATTTTTAGATGGGTATTCAAGCTGCCCTCATTGGCACCACTCTTGAATTCCTTGTTACAGATCGGACAATGTAGGGTGCCGGTTGGCGTCGGTTGGCGTGTCGGCTGGTGTAGATCTCCGGAAGCCAAGGAAGCGGGGTATAGTCCGAGAGGGGATGGCGACGGGCGCGAATATGAAGATGTATAGCCATTTGAACGGTAGTAGGAGCCCCCATTTACAGAGAAAGACGAGGATGTATTGACAGTATTTACACCGACATTGGTGCTCTGTTGTCCGCTCACGGTGGTTGCGGAGAAGGGCTGCGGGGCACGGTGAAGTAGCTAGGGTCCGGTGGGCAGGGTTCCGTGGGGTTCTGGGTCCTGTACGGTCGACGGGACGCGCGCAAGACGCGACGCGCGCAGGCAGTCGCTTGCCGGCTGTTGACTGTTTGTGCGCAAAGCAAGACCAAATATTTGGCCCCCCCTCTGAGCACGTGTTGTTGATCGCGCGAACGATCCGAGATCTCGAGACCTCTTGATAGATGGAACATCTGGAATCCGGGTGCTCCTTTCACGGATCTGGAAGTACTTCGTCTACCACGAGGAGTTTCGTCTGCTCCAGGGCGTAGTCGCGGATATGGAGCTCATCCTCTTTGGAATCCTCGGTCCAAAGCTGAAGGATACTGTCCGTATCGTCGATGGCGTCGGCGGTTCACTATCCGATTTAACCTCACTCATTTTCGACCATCTGGATCTGCTCATTTCTGGTTTGCGTTTGGGGAGGAACGACTTCCCTCTCCGTGCTATATGCTTTTTGATGTGGCTAGTCAGCATCGCGGATGACATTGAGCGGGAAGCTATCGTTTCTCGAGGCATTGTTCCCAAAATCGTCGTCTTGGCGATTGCCCTCCAGCGGATGGGCCCTGCGTCGGACGCAATCGACCAAGCACAATCAGCTTGTGTCACCTCGGTATCAAGGCCAGCTTTATTGTTCCGTCCGTGCGCCTGTCAGTCATTCAGGCGCTGAAGTCCGGGCTGCTCTGGTCGCTTGCACACACCATGATCACCAATGCACGGACTGACGATGACAACAGAACTGTCAAGGACTTGCTCCGCTCTTTATCCGCGAATTTCATGTACTACTCCATCATTCGCTCTCTCGCGAAGGCGCTAGCCCGTTTGGAACTTGCAGGTTGGGTGCCGCAACTACAGATGCATGAGTGCTGGGCGACATGGTTCGAGGTGCCCCAGGATGCACTTGCGCGCAAAGCCGATTTCGACAGTGCGCCTGCACCCTTGAGATTCTGTGACAATGTCTCGGTGCGTACCATTGGTACTCGCCTCTTCATTCATTACTGACACTCAAGACACGCCAGTGCGACGTGGCGACTGCGCGCAGCGGGTGCGAAAGCCGATATTACTGCTCTGTTGGATGTCAGAAGGAGGATTGGGTCCCTGACATGAATCACAAGGCATTTTGCCCACATCTACAGCCACAAGGTTTGCCAATCCTCTTGTTTTCCGCATCACACTCTGACCGGATGCAACCTTTACAGGTGGCCCTGCGCTTCCCAAGAAAGACCGGGCTTTCCTGCTCCATACTATCCACACCGGCTACCTCCAACGGAAATCGGATATTCTGCACCGTCGTGCGGTGTTCATGGCCGAGAACCACGGCACGGGGTTTTACACGCAGTGGAATTTCACCAAAGACTGGAACTCCCCCAGCCACCCGGTGCCGATAACCATCCACAGCCTCGAGGCGCTTCAGGCGGTGTACAAGTCAGCCACACAGGAGATGCAATGTGCGGAGCTTATGCAGCGCCTGAGCCGTGAGCGAGGCCGCCTTGAGGTCGACATCGCTGTTGCACCCGCCGGAGCTCAGATGCTGTATTGGTTTTTCGTGCTGCGGTCGAATAGTACGCGCCTACATGACTGGACGGAGGACTTGGCACGAGATATGCTCGAGCGCGAGGTGGACAGCGATGAGTACAAGGAGAGATTTGATGCTTTGGTCGCTGGAGGGGATGATATTGTGGAAATTCATTCATATTGAAGGATACATGAATAAGTATTCGGCTCGCACATGTTTTATTTAACCGTACAATCTGAGGATAACATGAACGAAAAAGTGCCACAGGCGAGGACTCGAACCCCGGTTTCTTTCGTGATTTCAAAGTAATTTGAAAGGAGAGTGTGGTACCACTACACTACCCGTGACATCCGGCTGCAGAGTTAATTGACATTTAGGCACGATCATGGTTTCGATTGGTCTTTTCACGCAGATATCAGTTTCAGTCGTCTTGAGAAACTATCTTAAATTGCAGGTTCAATTGACAGATTTTTTGACTAAAATTCCGCTCGTCAACGACTGCGTCCCCGAATTTCCAAAAGCAAAGACCCGCCACGATGGCGTGACCGTGACCCGTCACACTCCTGTTTTCAGCGCTCATGTCTGAATCCTCGTCGAGCAGTGTTCCGTCTACATCGCGAGCCAGGGGCAGAGGAAAGTCGCGCGGCGGGCTGGGCAAGTACCTTCGTGCCCGGGGCCGCGGCCGTGGGTCAGGCCGTCCCGCAGAATTTGGCAATCGACTCGTTCTTGAGGGCGAGGGTGCCAATGACGACGACGAAGAGGCCGAACAGCGTGCGGCAGAGCTTGCACAGAAATTTTCAAGGCGTCAACTGGGTACCAACGCGGACCGATACGCGGAGCCCGAACCCGTGCTCGACTCTGACGGTGCGTTACCCGTCGTTTTATTGCTGATTCGTTATCGTGATTGTTCACATCCAAGGCAGGCGAGCCGGAGGTGGAGCTGGAAGTCGATCTCTCCTCCTTCCTCGAGAGACAGCGCATCACGGACATCGCAGGTCCCTCTGTGTTGCCTCCGAAGGCCTCTGTGGACGAGGATGACGTGGACCACAGTTTAGCGCACATCTCGTCAACTGGAATAAAACCAGCACCATCGCGCAAGGGGAAGGTTGAGCAGATTGAATGGGACGAGGAGCTGGACGAGTTGGAGCGCGAGAAAGCGGCTGCCGAAGCGATCTGGGGTATAGTAACGTTAACCACTCCTCATCCGCACTGCTAAGTAACAAACCAGACTTGAAATCCCGATTCAGAGCTAAATCGGAGAAACTGCGAAAGGCTGCTGTTCCCGTGGGGCGTGAGCGCAAACCGGGTGAGTCCTCAGTCATGTATGTTGCGCCATTTCATCGTATTGGTTGAACAGGACCGACGTATGTGGAGGCGCCGCCGCTTCCCCTGGCGGATGGCTCAGTGCCGCCTCCCAAGGGTCCCAAGGATGACATGCAAGATTTCTTGGACGACCTGCTGGCTTGATCATGACTAGGCCGTACTTATGCTTCGCTCAATTTCTTGTCTGGTGTCGAGGAATTTATTTCAAGATTGGCTGTTCCAAACTTCCGCTAGGCTTCAAGCGCCGAACTTGTCCTTCTTCTGACGCACAGTCTGGATCCGTGCCTATGCTGAGATTGATTGTCTCTTCCCGGTGTCGACCCCAGTCTGCAGAAATTGAATGTCGCCTGGCATTCCCTCGATCTGTGATGAAACATGCAAGCCCGCCCCGTATCTCAGAACACGTTTATCTGCAGGATCAGTTATCCGCCAGGTTAGGATATTTACAGGCTCGGTGCTGTTCTCAGAATGCAGTTGGTTGCGGGTGATATATATATCAGTTCCGTTCGCTTTTCGTTCTGAAACCTGGCAGTGCCGCAGATCCATTACAACGGGACTTCCTCCTTCAAAAGCTGTAGGAGATGTATATGAGCGTTCTCCGTTTCACCCGTTAATGCACCCTTCAAGTGGCGCAGTCGACGGACAACGGACACGGACAGCCCGTGTGCTCTGACAACAGCCGATGGTGGCGCCCTGCATTCGCAAGATCCGTTGGTTTGCGGAATCATTCCTTGGATTCAAGGGTCCGACCTGCATCGCCTTTAAGCACTCAATTGCGGAGTCGACTCCGGATGTCGATGGTATACATCGGTTGGGCCGCAGCACTGCAAACATGATCGATTCCGTCGAGTCCCTGATGCGTTGTGATTGTTTTGTATCGGGATAGTTGTGAATCAGCAACGACGGTCCCGCATACCGAATTAGTGAGTTAGTTGAGTTCAGCTGCTCGTCCATACTGATGTCAAAGTCCGAGTAGTCGCAAGGAAAGTATTACAAGAACAGTAAATAGGTGTCGATAAGGATTGTAAGTACATCTACATTGGTTAGTTATTTGACATAGTCCATTATGATGAGTTGTCAGATATACGCAGGTCAATGTCCAAGCAACGTTAAAGATCGTCAAGCGGTATTAACACCGCCAATGTCAATTCGACAAACCACACGCCTTCAAACAGCTATCCACCCCAGCGGCCAAATTCGGCGGCAAGTGCGCGCGCCACGCATCGATCGTCGACCCCCCAATCGTCTCGGGAAATCCGAGAGCCGCGTCCACGACGTCAGCGGAGAGCATCCAGAAATTCGTCGCGATATCGCTCCGGCCCGGGTCCTCGCTGTTCAGCGAGGCGACGAACACGGCGGGGGAGCAGGTTGGGTTCTGCTGATAGTGGATGCTGCCCATCGGGAACACCGTTGCCTGGTACTTCCCCAACTGCGTCTCAATCTCGGCGTTGAAACCATTCTCCTAGATTCCTTATCAGTCGCGCCGCGGGTGGGAGAGCAACAATAAATCACACCTGCACGAAGCCAGTGTCCATAATCCCATCAATGACGGTTAACATCTCGCTCGCGCGCGGGTGCGAGTGAGGGATGTTCAGGCCGCAAGGCTCGACAAGGGAGATCGCCCCGGAAATGCCGAGCTCCTCGAGAATGGGGAAGTTGTCAACGGTTGCAAGGAGAATGGATCCGCCCTTGGCACCGGGTGCGTCTGCCTGGTTGTTGAAGTCAAAGACGGTGAGCTGCCGGAGGGCATCGCCCGTAAGGAGGTTCCCGTTCCCGTCTGTCAAGAGCTTCTTGAACCGGTCGTTCACGCTAGCTTGTGTCTTCAGCCCCGCGGCAATTGCGGGCGCGTTCGAGACGAGTGGGACGGGAGGGGGTTGGGAAACGGACGCAGTGGGCGCCGCGCGGACTGTGAGCGCGGAGGCGACGACGGCAATGATGATGGAGGAGGAGAACAGCATGGTGAGCGAAATGCTATTCTGACGTGATACGGTTAGTCGCGCTCGTAAAAAATAACGAAGGAACAAAACCAAATGAGAGGGAGAGAGTATGTGGCCGACGAGCAAGGTTAACGGGGCCTGCAGAAACCTCCTGACAACTGACCCCGTTTTATAGATTCACCCTTTCCTTGAGTCGGTGCCGCTCAGGAACGCCACACGTAGTTAAGTTCCGGAAATACACCGAGGGAACAACACAGCTACAGATACTAACTAGGTAAAGGGCGAAATCATTCTAGCAATAGAGTTCAGCTCACTGATATTAGGCGCTATTAGCGTTGACTGACCCATAAGAAGCTAGCGGGGTTCAACTGATGGTAGCATTGGTTCCGTAACGCCTGCGTTTCCAGTCCGTTGCTCCAATCTCTGGAAATGAAACATGTCTGTGTCTTTGACGCCAAGGCACAGCCAACAAGGATAGCAACCATATTAACCTCCTCCCATCCAAGTTGCTTGGTCCGTGCCCCAACCCTGTGACCGTTTGCACTTCAATCGGTGTGCTTCTGTAACTATGTTAATCGTTGATATACAATTCAATCATCAGATACCGACAAATGGTTGAGATTACAAGACCGACACAGCAAAAAACGGACCGGAGTAAGTATAAGAATCCAGGCTACGGCTCCGCATGCGGCAGTGCATTAAGTAGCTGTGCGATTCAACCATCGAAACTTCCGTCGCATCATTGCAACGCGGGATAATCCCAACGGTGCCGAAGGGGAACAGTGGAAAGTAAGCCTCCTTGCGCTGATTAAATCGGCAGAGAACTTTGAATCAGCCAGTCTACTGACTAAAACGATCATAGAGTCTTTGAAAGTTTGGAAGTTTGACGGTCCCGGGGCCACGGCTCCGTATGCCGCTTGCGGGCTCGCACGGGTGCCTAGGTAGGAACAATGCAGCAATTCAGCATGTTGTGAGTTCACGCGATGTAGATGACCCGCGGAATCAATTAATCAAGGTCAGCAGGGATCACTCGGAGGTAAGTAATGCAGGAACCGTCGGAAGGATCGACTTCCCCGAAAAACAAAAATGCGAACACGATATCAGGCCACAGGTACGTAGGCCACCGGTACGGCTACCGATCCGGTTCATCTGGAGTGCACGGCCAGACCAGCATGACTAATAACATTCAAACTCTATAGTTCAGAACAATGACAAGGAAAGTACGCGTGAGATGTGGCATTCGACACCAACCAACTAAAGGACAAGGCCAGGTCCCAGTATGAGAGGCTCGCAGGCCTGTGTCGGGGTCCACACAAACATGTTGCCAATGATTTTCTCCAAAGGACTCAACGTCTCGTCATGAGCGTCGTGGGTTTCATTCATCCTTCCGCGACGGGGAGGCGCTCTTCCCGGAAGAAGATGTCCACAAACCTAGAAACGGAGACCGTGGATGAATAAACGCCCATGATACTGACGCGCGACTCACTTCTTTGGTGCCTGGCCGGTGAGCGGGTCGCCGAAGATGCTGAGAAAAAGCGCGGACTCGCGGCAGCGCAGGTCAAATTCCTTGAGCGTGTTGGTCACGTTGCCGTTTGTCGCCACCGAATGCGCGAGACACGCGCGCTGCACCATTCCCGCAGATGCTGGCTCGTAGTAGTCCTTCCCCAGGTTGGAATTCGCCATCACCGAAAAGGTCGTTTCGTTGAAGTGCACTTTGTCGCCAGTCCCGTCGCCAAAGTCGTTGCGCGAGATAGACGCGTCGTGCTCGATGATGTTGTGACTGCAGATACCTCAGTACTACTTATCGAAAGACTGCACCATGTAACGTACATTGCAAGGGCATCGAGGCTCATCTTGTCGAAGCTGTTAACATCGGCTCTAGTAACCAACCCGAATTTTGCCGCCACGAGGATGGTCTCCCAATTCAAATTGAAAGCCTCTGTGGTATCAAAGGATGGTAAAATGAGTTGCATATCGCAAAGCAGATCTTCTAACGCACCCAGAGCGGCGTCCATGAGTGTGGTGACGGTGAAGTTGCGTCCGTCGCGCGGAAGATAGCCGTGGTTGGCAAGTCTTTGGAAGATGAG